GCTTTTTTTTTTTTTTTTCTGAATCAGATTCCAGGGCCACCAGACAAGCATCACGGCCAATGAGGTACATCTATTACCTGATCATTACACTGTACCCCAACAACATTTTCCTGAAGGCTTTGCCTTTTTTTCCTGTGTTTCTCACACCCATACCTAATTCAAATGCTGAATTACTTGCTCCTTAATTATTTGTGGAATTCACTTGTTTCCTGTGTGTCATTACTTCCAAATTCCTTGTCTGGACTCATTATCCTCAGTTTTAGTATCTGGAACACCTTCTGGCTTTTCATATTCCCCATTCTTTCTGAAAGCCATGCAAAAATCCAGCCAAGGCCTTTCTTATTTCCTTGATGAAGCTCAGTCTCCTGAGTATCCTTTAGCTGTCTCTACTGCTGTATTCAGTGTCAGCATTTACAACACCTTGAAAGTTCTATGTATTCCTGTTTTTCAGTGTGCATGTTCCTTCTTTCATGACTAATATTCTCTACAACTTGCTTTCCACTAGGGTCTCAGTAATCATCAACAGTTCTTCTCAGTCACCTTTTAGGAATGACAAAGTCTGCCCAGGCTACTTGACAGAGCTTTAACCATCTGCTTTAGGTGCCTCCCTTTTGAAACAATTTGCTCCCGCAGCTTATTGATGCTTATACAACTTCATTACAAACCGTCTACTCTCTCCTTCCTAACCCCCAATCTTTTTGGTTAATGTTTTCTTATAAGCGAGATCCCTTCAAGGTTGGGAATCGTCCATTCTTGAAAAAGAATGTTACAGTCATGGTGTTACAGTCAGTCTGTAAATAAATACTTTATGAATTCTACTGAAACAGAGATATATGTGGAAGCTAAATAGCAATCCACTGTAGTTTCACACCGCTTCAGTACATGCTGTACAGCAGTCAAATACAATGCACTTACCACTTACATGTAGCAACATCACCACCACTTACCTTTCCATTGTTTTTTTTTTTGCCTTTTTTTTTTTTAATATATATATATAGCTGGAAGATGACATTATAGCCAAACCTGACTATTTGCAAAGTATAAAAAACTTTACTGCCAAACAGTCCCAAGAGTGGATGATTCTCGAGTTCTCCCAGCTTGGATTTATTGGTAAGTATTGGGACCTCAGAGAGGCAGTTGGATTTGGAGCTGTGTAGGTAGAGTAGGTCTCTCGGATTTGTATTTCAAAGCGTGGAAGGACTTGCATATCAAAACTTCCTTGGTTTTTCAGGAAGGCTCTCACTGAAAATCTTTTACTTTCTGCGCTCTTTAAATGTGTTGGTTTAATGCAGAGGCTCCTCAGCATATGATCTAGAAGTTGGGTTCCCATAAGAGTAGATTGTTCCACCTTGGGGCACTGTGTGCCCTCGTGGTGTGCAGCCTTCTTTTCAAGAATGGAATTTGAAAAATCTATTAAAACTCTGCTTCCTTTCCTTTGTGGAGCAGAACATACATCCCATATCATAAGGAAGGTTTTTATTACTTTTAGTTATAAGCTTTTTATTATTTTTTTTTGTGCTGATAAATTTTACATGTGATAAAACCTTCTAAGTATTAGGTCAAACAGAGAAATGTAACAAAATCTGCTAACACAAATAGCAAGAGAATTAAATGAACAGTTATAGTATTTTAAAAGTAACATTTTTCATAACTTGATCTAAATTTAAAGATATTCAGTATAGTATTAACAGTAAAATTGCATGTCTAGCATTTCAAAGAAGTATTCAGACCGTTTCCTCTGACACACTGATAGAGGTGACTGGCAGATTTGTGTTTGGAACCAGGATATAACTGCAGGCTTTATTAGTCAATTAGTTCACTATTTGAGAATATCTTCAAACATGGAATGGAAATCTTTTCAAAATCCCAACAAGTTGGAGAATAAGCACTTCTCCAAAGCTGGAGTCTGTGTGAAATTTCCACTAAATATCAGGACTAATCCATGTGTAATCCAAGGCTGGAGTAAACATAAAGCAGCTGAGTTTTTCACAGCAATAAAAATATCTGAATATGCAACTTCTTTTCTTGCTTTCAGGAAAATTGTTTAAATCAGAAGACTTGCCACTCATAGTGGAATTTTTTCTCATGTTCTATAAAGATAAGCCGATAGACTGGCTTGTCGACCACCTGCTCTGGGTTAAAGTGTGCAATCCAGAAAAGGATGCAGTAAGTATGTCTATGAATTTATGAACATAAGTAAAATTCAAACAGTCCCAGTGACAAAATAATTTATTTTCAAAAGATGGAATAGAAGTCTCTCAAACCTGACTTACTTTGGAATTTGTGGGAAAAGATCTGCTGCCAATCTGCATGGAGTGGCACAGGGTTTGAGCCCATTAGTGCTTGACTCAGAAATTCAGATTTTCACACCGGAGCTGTTTTGCCTCCAACAGCTCAGCACAAGCTCACACCTGCCTGCTGCTGGTCACGTAGGCAACCATCCAATACTGAAGAAAATTTTGAATATATAAACCTTCATGGACTCTCACTTCTCGTAACCTTTGCTAACCTTCTAATACGGAAGTCAGTAAAGCACAGTTTTGCAATGACAGTTGTTCTGAATTTTGCAAACTGATTTATTTCTTTCAGGAAGCAGAAGTTAAGTGTTTTGCTTTACATCTTTTACTAGCTGGGAAAAAAATGTGACTGGTTGCCTGGAAAAAAAGAAAGAAAAAAAGAAAAAAAAGCAGGGTAACATGTAGATAAAACAAACTAAATCACAGAATCATAGAATGGTTTGGGTTGGAAGGGACATTAAAGATCATCTAGTTCCAACACCCCTTTCGTGCAGAGGGTCTTGCCTTTTTTGTATTGAAGACCCCAGAACTGGATGATGGTTCACAGGAGGTAAACATGATGAAGTTTCTGAACCACACAGAGGTCTAATGGCTCTGATCATCACAAAGTGTCTTTTCCAACTTGGTGAGCAGATGAAGCTGAATCTTAGTATGTTCATACTTAACCCAGGCTGAAAACATGCCAAATGCCCATCTCCACAGAATGGCACATAAAAGCCACCAGCAGGTGCCGTGTTGACCTTCCTGTGAGGCTCAGTCTGTGAGCTCTTAATGACACTCCTAGTTGCTTGGAAAGGGGAAAGGGTGAGGGTTTCTGTCAGGTTGCCTGCTCTGGCGCCTGTAAGGAACTCCACTGCTTTAGTCTGTCAAGCAGAGGAGGAGCAGCCGCTGGGATCTCTGTCTTTCTTCCAGCCTCCATTTTCTGTATTCTTGTGAGGACTCCCAGAAGGTCTTTCCCACCCAAGAGCAGCACAAGGCTGACTTGTCTTGAGATGCTTTTGCTACCCACAGCAATTGAAATTGCAATGGCAGAAGTGAAACCCACTAGAAACTTGGTGGTACCACTCTACTTTGGCTTGGTCACAGCAGACTCCCATAGGCTGCCTGCCTGTCTTTCAGGAACACAGCTTCATTTTAGGTTTGAATCAGCTCTCAGAAGCTGGAACAGTAATTAAAAAATAAAATATAATAATAAATTCATCTATTGGATAGACGTTAAATCTGGAATGGGTGATATTACAGAATGGTATATTTTTAATTCTGTTAGCACAGGCAGGCAAGAACCTAAATTAGAGGTATTTGAGTCTCACTAACTCCTATGAGGTGGCCTAACACATGGAGTAGGATCTCAAATCTTACTCCTGTCTGTATGTAGTGGGAATTGAGACTCCTCAGTGACATGACTAGGTGTAAAAACAGGGACCTTCTGTTATCCCACAGTAGGACTTCAAGCTTGTTTGTTCCACTCCCCTCAAACTCCCACTCTGCACATCTCCCATTTGTCTCTTTGTCCTTCTTTATAGGCACAAAAGTAACATGGAAACACCTGGAGTGGGGACTGGCTACACTAATCAAATAAAGCTCTTTAATTTTAAAAACCAAGAAGGAGCAGAAACTCTGGTCAGTCCTCTGTAGCACAGTCAGTTATACAAGAAGGGTGTGAGTAGTGACCAAAGACTAGTGAGAGAAAGAGTGCAAAAGTACATACAGAAATACTTCATGAATCATGGGGGTCACCTGTAGTGCTAGAAATGTCACTTTTTGCAATTCAACACAATGTGGTTTTTTTAATTTTCAGTGAAAAGTATAATTTACTCCTCTCTTGTGAGACCCCACCTGGAGTGCTGTGTCAGTTTCCAGGGCCCCCAACATAAGGACATGGAGCTGTTGGGGTGAGTCTAGAGAAGGGCCACCAAGATGATCAGAGGGCTAGAGAACCTCTCCTATGAAGACAGGCTGAGAGAGCTGGGGCTGTTCAAGGAGATCTTGCAGCAGCCTTCCAGTACCTGAAGGGGCAACAGGAAAGCTGGGGAGGGGCTTTTTACCAGAGTCTGTCATGACAGGACAAGGGGCAACAGTCTTAAATTGAAAGAGGGTAGATTTAGATTGGACATGAGGAAGACATTTTTTTAAGGTGAAGGTGGTGAGACACTGGCACAGGCTGCCCAGGGAAGTTGTGGCTGCCCCATCCCTGGAAGTGTTCAAGGCCAGGTTGGTTGGGGCTTTGAGCAACTTGGTTTAGAGGGAGGTATCCCTGCCCATGCAGGTGGGTTGGAATTAGAAGAGGTTTAAAGGTCCTTTCAAACCCAAACTGTCCTATGGTTCTGTGATCATACGCAGTGGCATGGGTCTATCAAGTGTAGTGGGGACTAGCAGACTGCAAAGATGGGAGCCCTGACTCAGTGAGGAGCCTTATCTCAGTTTCTTCACAGGTGACCTCCCCAGTCCTGTGCTACTGCTTATTTTCAACTGCTACCATAAGTAGCTCCTTTGGTATTGCTGTCATATCGTAAAAGGAGACGTGCTAGAGACTACATTATTCTAGGGGATGAACTGCAGTAGAAGGATCACAAATTTATTTTCTTATAATAACTCTTTTCCTAGCAACAGTATGGTGTGTTTTTCCAAATAGCAGCTGCCAATGCATATATTGTGTTTTTACAGTACTTTGCTGAACAGCTGCTGTGGTGGACAAACAAAACTACTTAGCTCTTTTTATAGCTTTCCAGGTGGTTTTGAACTTTTAATCAGTTCTTCTGTGGAAACCATAAATCCTCCATTGTTTTTTTTCTCTTTAAACCAGTTAAGTGAAGAGTTCATCACTTCTAGCTTTAGAAGGCATTGATATAGTGTATGTAACATTTTTCTTTTATAAAACTGAAAGCACTTGATAGAAGAGGTAAAAAGATTATCCTCTCAAATCTACAGATGTGAGGCCTGGGATACAGAGAAGTTAAATGATCTTCCAAATTCGTACAATAATTCTGTGGCAGAACTGAGAGTAGAACCTAGGGAGTCTCATTTTAGTTCTTTGCTCTGTTCTATGCCATTATGTTTCATTATGTCGCATTATTTATTGTAGCATGTTTGTTTCATTTTATCAAACTATGATGCTCTATAGATATAAAGCAAAAGTTTCTTAAAGTTCTTTTTAAAAAAAGGTTATTTTTTAAGAAGTAATTTGCTATCATTCAAAACCCAAGAAACTCAGAAATTAGTGCCAATTACAGTTACTTAATTCCCTGGAATACGTCATGTCACCAAGTGTACTCAACTGGAAAAGCAGGATTAAAACACGGTGCCTAAGGACTTTATGTAATTATAAGATAAAAGATCCATAACTTATAGCATATTAAAGTACATTATAAGCCTCTCAAACATAGTAGAAAGAGCCAAAATTATAATGATTGAAATGAGATTTGACAGAAATAGTTAAAAAAGAAATTAGTTTCAGATTTGTGGTCCATTTGTATGGCTCTGAATTGTGATGGATGGTATACAATGTAGAAATCCCTGAGTTAGTGCTGGATGAGCCTTCAAATCTACATAGCACAAGTGCAAATACAAGTTTAGATCTAGATTTGAAATAAGGTGACTGTTAATCTGAGGATTACTCATTGAAATCCAGATTTAAACCTGGACCCTCAACTAAATAATAAAGTTGCTTTATAGAACTTAGTTTGTCTCTTCTTTATTTAAATAAAACTTAACTCCCTTTTACTTTCTTTCCAGAGACATTGTGAAATGGAAAAGGCAAAGTTACGTATTCGTGCTAAACCATCTCTCTTTCAGCATATGGGAACTTATTCCTCATTGGCTGGGAAGATACAGAATTTGAAAGTAAGGATAAGGAATTGATGCATGTTTTAAGCATTGTATCTTTGGCATTAGATGGCATTTCCATATCCAAGAAAGCTGATGTACAGTTTTTGGGGAAAACATCGATCTGGTATCTACACTGCAGGTGGGGTACACAGCTGCTGCACAAACATCTTTGAATATCTAATCTGAACACCTGTAGCTGTCATGATAGCTTTTCATGGTGTGTAGGAACCCTCTTCACAGCATAAGGTTTCATGTTCTCTGCACGGTACAAGCACAAACAGCTGTGATGGTTTGTTTTGGCCAAATATTCCACAATCCCTATACGAGGGGCTATCAAGAAGAAGGTGTACTGGTAGCACAAGGGTGTGGATACCATGACAGCCATAGGGTTTTAAGGAGAATTAGGGGGGCAAACAGTGGATCTGCCAGTATCTGATAAGGACAAGAGCAATGAAGCACCAGACTTCAGGGCTGTCCTGGTGGTGCCATTTAGACTGATCATGAGATCATTTGAATTGCTGTATTGGATCCGACTAGAGCTTCACGTAGCATTTAGCAGAGACCAGAATTAGATGTTCTGGCAGAAAGTGTAGTAGATAACTATGAAATAGGTTACTCTGGGTAAGTTTATTTTTAAATCTGGGCAACTGAGAAACAATCAGGACAGCTCTGTCTGCAAACTGTAACATTAAGTCTCTGATTACACTGAAATTAATATTCTATTAGAAATAGACTATATTTTCACACTGAGGTAATTACTTTCTGTAATAGCTTCCTGTAATAAGTCAAGATTTTGAAGGAGCTTTTATTTTTCATTGTATGGATTAAATTACATTTCTTTATATCCAACAGGATAAAGATTTTGGCAATAATGTGCTACATAAAGCCCATAATAATCCCCCAGCAAAACTGGATACAAGCCTAAGAATATACCAGCAATATACCTTGGAAAAAGTTTATGAAGGAAAAGACTGTTTTTGGGCTTTTTCTCCAATGCAAGGGGACTACATCAGCTTCACCTTTTTAAATCCACTAAAAGTTGAAAAGTAAGTATTGCATGATACAGAACAAGGAAGCCTACATATATCCAGTTTGTAAATTACTGATTCTGTTGAAAATCACCAGTGCTCAACCCTTCACATAAACCATAGCCTTGTTAATGACAAAAAAATGTGATTTGCTATTTATCTTTTCCCCTATTTGAATTCCCCTCCTGAAATACACTTCTTCCATGGTAATTACAGAGCTTCCTAATTATTTTTTTTCCTTTTATTTCTTCAGTTAAATATTTACATTCTCTTATCATAATTCTCAAAAGAATTTGGTTTTAATTAATGAGTTTCATGAATGGAGTCAGTGAAAGCTTTATTTCTGTAGTTGTCAACAAAAAGGCTGTTTGCATGATGTCAAGTCAAAGGCTGTGTCCCAGACCAGATGATTTCAGTGTAGGTGAAAGTAAAAAATACTATTATTGTGGGGAAATAATGAAGAGTGAATTAACAAAGGTGGGATTCAACTGAAGATTCAGAGACTTGAATATGGGTCTTTACAGTAGAGAGGTCTGTAGTGAGTATATCTCCGTTGCCTGTAATGAGACCTTGAACACTTGAGTCACAGACAGACTCCTCCTTCACATGTTTGGATCTATTGCAAAGTCCCACCTTGAATGTTTTTCTCATTCTGTAAGATGAAACTATCTTTTCTGTTTTCACATCATTCAATTTGAGTGTCTTTGAAAGGAAGAGGTACCTGTAGCTTAAGACAGAGAAGTGTTTTTCAGAAGGACTTATTCAATGAACAGTACAAATTGAGGTTAGCACTGAAAGAAACTGTCCTGCCTGATTCAACAAAGTTTCTTCTTTTCTGTGTCCAGTTGGAGAACAGATCTGAGTTAAAACTAACAGAGCAAGAAATACGATTCCAGGATAATGTCTCTTGACATGAATTACCATCATTACAGCATCTCTGTAATGATATTCACAGAGAAATCTCCTTAAGTATTGTTACACTTCCTCCCAAAACTGGTGACAAAACTAGGAGACTTCCATTTCTGAAAAGACTGTGTATTTCTCATTTATTTAAAAAAAACAAACAAAGAAATCAAGTCTGTATCTCCAGCTAGTGAGCAGCATTAAATTACAGTTGTTATAATAAGCCACGTCACATTGCTGGCCTCTGAAAATGTATAGTTAATCCTAAAATATTTGATGGTCTTAGGTCTTGGTTGTTTGATAGCAGAGGAGGGAGGCTGATGCTTTACATTTCCTTAGCTCTTTTTGGCTCTAAAACTCTAAGAACTATAATGCCAGAAATTTAAAATAAAACAAAGATTTATTAATTTTTTTAAAAATCTCACAGGTTTTTTGCTTGGATTCTTGCTTTGAGAGTGCTGTTGCTCTTTGACTATAAAGGAGATTATTTTAGAAGCACCTGAATTAATCTGTATTGGTAAAAATGGGGATTCTCTTGGCATGTAGGATATGGTCTAGTAGAAACAGGGATTTTTGCTGCCATTGCATTCCAGAACCCTGTCTCACATCAGTTTTAAGGTGATAGAAACAGGTCAGAGGGCACATCCTCCTTAACCACGTAAACCTGGAAAATTAATCATTTTTGGAACCCAAGCACTGAAAAAAGGCAACATTTGCATCTGTGGTTCCAGAAAAAGATGGTTTTAGTGCTTGTTCAGTTGAACATAAAAAGCTTGTAGTATGGTTTGGTCACACATTTCAGTGCCTGTTTCTGTTCTCTAGAGCCCATTAAATAATTAAAGAAATGGTATTTGAAATGTTCCTTCAACACTGGAAAGAATTTATTTCCCTAGAACTTTTCTAAAATATAAAATACCTGGAAATAATATACCTTTATTATCAGGTACTTCTTCAGAAGTGGAAATATGGAGCACCCTGGTGATAAACTGTTTAACACTACCGTGGAAATGTTGCCAGCAGATGTAAGTCTTTCATTCATTTCTAACTATAATACACAGTGCTATTTCATTTTAATAACTGTGTTCAGCCTAAAATGTCATGTCCTAGAAAATATTACTGGATTGTTTTTTTTACAGGAAATGCTAAGAAAAGAACTGGTTGACAATGGCAGTAAATTCAACTACCCAGCAACCAAAGATGGATATTTACAAATAGGTAAATTGTTCATTGTCACTTCAAATTCTGTTCTCATGTATGAAATTTGAGGAATTTCATTAACTCTAATAAATGCAACATTCCAAGGTGAACTAGTAAGGATAAGAAACCCTTTGTGCTACTGCATATTATTGCATATAATGCTTGACCAATGACTATCCTATTTTGTTTTAAATAACCCTACCAACACTGGTAAAAGCCAAGGCACCTAATGAAAAGAAAAACTAATTGCAGTCTGTGAGGTCTTAAGAGGGTAATTGCTTCTGGTTTGGATTTTGCAGCCTTCGGTGAAGCCAAGGATTTCTTATGACAGCATTAACTTGTGCTCCAACCTGAAGTGAAGATGAAGCATAACATAATGTACCCTTTTTGCCCCCACCTCTGTTTCCCCTTCTTCCTTCCTCAGGGTGGTGTGTGGCTTCTCTTAAATGAACTGCACACTCTCCTCATGCCTGCCAAGGCATGGTTGCTACTGTTACCTAAACTAAAATGCCACTATGTGACTAAAAATGGACTCTTGAGCAGCTGCTTGGCTTGCTGCTGTCTTCTGTCTCTTCTGCCACATAATTGCTCTTTTCTCCCTTTGAATCTCCCTCAAGGAGAGGAGATTCCCTCTCGTGTGCTTTGATATGCACCTCTCTCCCACATCTCATGGCTGTTTTGCTCCTACTAGAGATCCAAACCAAAATGCTGCCAACTCACAGTTGCACACGCAAGTTGATAGGAAATTAATATCATACATGCAATGGGTGTTTTTCATTTTTCTGCAGTGGTTTTATGCCAGTTTACAAGTGTAGTTTAAAAGCATTGAATTAGTGAAGAAATCTATCAAAATTAGTCCATTTACACCTAATATATCCTTTTAAAATAATAATAATCATAATAATTCTCAAAAAAGCTCCTTTAGATTATTTAACACGACCATGTGTGTCATATGCACATGGTCACTGCTAACATATTTAAACTTATTTTTTAACATTTGTAGCTGTTGGGTCTTTATTTTCTTGTATTCTTCTCAAGCTCCTAGTTGCTGTGGCTGAAGGAATGAATCCTTCTTGGTTTTAGCTTTATCTTTCAATTGCTATTGTTTTACCTTTTCCAAAAGATTTTATCATTTGTAATTTAAACTTTTGCACAAGTTCACTTAGAAGCATATTTCATTCTAATATATATCAATACAGATCTCATTTTATTTTTTATTTAGGGGCTTTTGAAAATGGAATTGCAGAAGGCAGTATCAATCAGTCAATAGGAAAAATACAGGCTATTCGTTTATCAATCAATTCTGATTCTCCTGTGTGGGTAATAATTAGTGAGGTAAGCATGTTAATAAAAGCATTTTAATTAAAGCTTTCTTCCTACCATATAGTATTGATGATAATTTTTACTTAATTTTGAATGGGATTTTGTGTGGAAAAACTCATGCAAGTGGAGAAATGTATTAAATATTCAGGAGAGATGTTAAATTTACTTCATAGAAAAAAATCTAGAAATGCTCAAATGGGATGATTCTCCAGTTTTGCAGTGCTGTAAGCATAGTCATTAAAATATGGGTCATGATCAACCAACCAACCAAAGGAGATTGGGAGGTTTTTCTAGCTTTTTTCAGTCACCATCTTGAATATTAATTACAATATGCAAACATTTTCAGATGAACATGTGATTTTTTAATTCTTCAAGTTCCTCCCAAGTGTATGAATGTGTGTGAACCCATAAGCAGAAAATATTTTGAAGTAGCTGAAGAGAATTACTGCAGCCTCAAACTACAGCCATAGTTGGAAGGAGGGAAAAGCTAATGTCTTAGGAAATGCTTCTGCATTTCCTCTTAGAAGTAATGTATTTTGTTTTTTTTCAGATACTTATCAAGACCTCTGAAAACTGAAAAAAAAAGAAATCCTTTTTTGATGTGTGGCTTGTTCCAGACTGTTTGAAAACTAAGCTAACAACAACAAAAAATTGGCTGGGTGAAAAAAGAAAATCCAAACCCATTTAATTCTTAATACTGTGTATTAGGAAAGAGTTGTGGTAACTATTAAATCTTTATATAAAGATATTAAAAGCTATAAAGAACCCCATTATGTTAGTGATTTCTAGAAAATGTTCTTGAGTGATATGTCATATATAAAACCAATTGATAAGGCATTACAGGCTTTCTCAGGGACTAAAACACGGTAAGTTTATAAAGCATTAAGGATGAAGTTTTTGATTCCACTTAAAAGAGGGGTGAATTTTGGAGAGAAAGTAGAACTGATGGAGGAGCTGACAATATTCCTTGCAAGTGTTCAGAACAGTCCACAGAGATAATAACAACTTAATAATATGAAAACAGGCCTCAAACTGAACAGATGAAATGTGTTTCAGCCTTAATGTAGCATAAGTTATGTTTAATATATTTTTTTAAATGGCAAGTGCCTACAAGTTACCATTTGAATAACTTGAAGCTTATGCAAGTATTTATTGGAGGACTGTAAAACTTTTCAGTGATTTGTGCATTGAATTAACTACAGGAAATAATAAGGATATTATGTGTAACTATATTTTTGTAGAAAGAAAATATATTTAAATAAAATTTTGGATCCTATAATTTGATAATCATTATGTATTGATATTTAAAACCTGGTCTCAAGGCAAAACTCAATATAAATTTGGAAAGAAAAGGTAAACCACAGTAGGCTAATTTGAAATGGTTTTGGGAAATGACAGTCCACGTTGGACATCTACCTGTTAATGTGCAGAATTCCTGATTCACTTCCATAGCACTTGCAGCACAACTGCGCCCTCACTCTCCTGCACACGCATTGCATCCTAACAGCACAGCAAGAAATAAGCTGCACTGTGCACTTTTGCATGGATTTGATTAAATTGATTAAATTAATGTAGAATTGTATTCTTAGTGCAAGAGCATTGTTATTTAGGAAGGGACCTCAAACATCATCTAGTCCAACCCCCCTGCCAGAGCAGGGTCACCCAGAGCACATCACACAGGAATGTGTCCGTGTGGGTTTTTAATGTCTCCAGAGAAGGACACTCCACAACCTCTCTGGGCAGCCTGTTCCAGTGCTCTGTCACTCTCACAGTAAAGGAGTTTTTTCTGATGTTTATGTGGAACCTCCTGTGTTCCAGGTTGCACCCATTGCCCCATGTCCTACCACTGGACATCACTGAAAAAAGCCTGGCTCTGTCCTGCTGACACTCACCCTTAATGTATTTGTAAACACTGATGAGGTCTGCAGTCTGAATTGCCTTCTTATCAGGCCGATTTCACCTGCCATCAAAAGATGAAAGAAGCAGAAATCAAAGCAGAAAGAGTATTTCTTGTAGAACATTTCACTAATTAAGCATGTGATCTAGTAAAACTTGAAAATATTTTTATTTTACCATTGCTTTCACTGCAGCAGAGCCACGAGCTGGGAGCAGTGTCTGCATTCAGGCTGCCCTTCTCTCACTTGTTACAGGGGAGTGTCACTGGGAGGAGAAAATTTGAGAGCAATTATTAATCAGTGAACGTGTGGAAAATACGAGGGTAATACATTTTGTTATCAAACCCACTTATTTTCAGAGTGAAACAAGATTTCACTCTCTTGAAGCATAATTTATTAAAGCTCATCAGAATATGTGAAATTTTACTTGGAAGTGAGTGGATTTCTTGTGAATATTTTGTATTTGAAATAAGATTTTTTCAGTCTGTGCTGCCAGCTCGATGCTTCATTCATTCTGTTTCTGTTTTAATGTATTTTACATGACCATTGCAATCACAGGATATACTTCCTATCACTGTGATGTAAACAAGGTTTTAAATGTTGCTGTGGTAAATAACAAATGCTTGCATATGCAACGTTAAAGGAAAATGTTCCTTAGTCCTGGTTCTTCCCTTGCTTTGTGGAGTGCAGAGGTTTCTTCAGCACCCAGGCCACAGCTCCACTGTAAAACTTGAAGGAACCTCATGCGAGGACCTCTGGATTTTCACAGAAGAATTGACAGCTAAATAAAAAGCCTCGCAGCCCCAGGAGGTTTAAGACAATGGAGTGTAATGGAAATGGACTTACATACTTCTTTGTGTTAATAGCAACAACCTCCACTGTCAAGTGGCTTAGCTGGGTTTGTCATAACAGTTTCTGTGAGGCAGGAAGTGGTTCCAGGACACCTGCAGCCTCCTTTCCACCTTGCATGGTCCAAACTGCGGTTTCCATTTCATATTCCCGTGCGCTGAACATGCAGGTGACTTCACACGCTGAGGCTCTGAGGCCAGTTTGAAGGCTGTGAAGAGGCCTCCTCATGGGAAGCTTCAGTTCAGGTGGGGGATCCAGGGAATAAAGAACATTCTCTAACTTTACAGGTGACTGCAGTGTAGGGATGGTGACTGTAACTTACAAAAGCAAAGGCAGTAAAGCCTGGGTCAAAAAACAACTGTGAAAAGAGTTTCAGATTCTGTACCAGATCACCAAGCTCCTCCAGTAGGAAACTATACTTAAGTACTTTCATGTGGTTTAAAACATAGGCTTGAAAATACTGACTACCTCAGGGTCATTGTTCATGTACCTAATCAGGTTAAATGCCCGTGTGGGAAGAATGCACATTTTTCGAGCTAATTCAATATTAGTGATGGTTAATTCAACCCATTTTCATTTCACTGGAGCACAGTTGATGCCTTTCTCTGAACAGCGTGTCTCCATTGTTGTCTTAAATCCTTTGAGGGACTTTTGAAAGCAGAATGCTAACATTTGTCTTCAATAAAAAAGGCAGTTATGAACTTGGCTTTACTGATTTTTTTAAAATGCTTTTTATTTTCATTAATTACGCAGGCCTCTCATATTTGACTTTTTGCACAGCTTAATACAAGTACACATCTATGTTAAATGCTAATGGATGCTAAATGTGCACTGGGAAGAGGCTAGATTCCTAGAAGGAACAGATATTAAAATGAATTAGGAGATATTTAATCCAAAGTTAAAGACGTATTTGCTTATTGAATATAAAATCCCATTCCTCACATGTCTGAGGAAATAAATGTATAGTGTTCCATACATACACATGGATCCAAATTTTCCTCAGCATTTACTTTTCCTGTTACTAGTACGTCACACACTTGTTAGCTGTATTACTGGTTGCACAAAATAATTGTCTTGTCTGAGAGTGTTTTGGGTTGTATGTTGTGGGTTTTTTTTTAAAAAAAAACTATTATGTATTTGCATAAATGTAAGATTCCAGGTAAATTTTTCATAGATGCTTTACAATGGATGGTAGGAATATTGACAATTCTGCAGAAAGCAGAAATCTTTCATTCTGAAATTGCTTCTGAAAAGTTGTAGGTGTATTTCAAGCTGCAAGGATTGTTTTCATCTGTCTTTGTTTCATGATGGATTGCTCAAGAACAGTCCTTAATTATTTTTTTTAGTCAGAGATATTTAAAGATTGAAGTTTCTGTAGGACAATGGTACCATTTCTCAGAAGTACATTTAAAATAGGAATTTGAATTAAGGCAAAACAGATCTTTCTGATCAGCATTAGAATAATCAAATGGTACCATAAAAAAGAAAATGGTACCATAGTCCTACAGAAAATTCCATCTTTAGACATCTCTAGCTAAGCCTTAACAAGAGAAGAAATCATGTGGCTTTTCTATGATGCAAATATGCACTGTGTTTAGATTGTGAAGCTCACACTGCTCTTTGGAGCTTGTAATTGCAATAATCTTTGGCAATCTTAAATTTTCATGACACCATCAAGAGAAGAATATAATCTATTTGCTTATGTGTTACTTTACAATGACCTTACAACACATAAAAGGCAGAATATCATAAAAATAAAGGAGCATTTGGATTTACAATTAATATTACACATTCTAAACATGATGTGAAGTTGTGAATTATTTTTGGAGGAGGGAAGCTTAGCTTAATGGTGCATAGGCCGTAATTGTCACGTCCAAAGGGCAGTTTTCTCAGCATGGTAAGAATCAAGTAACGTAAAACAGGTTCTTGTGGCCTCAGCACTGGCTGAAAGAGGCTTAGATGTATGGAAGAAAGTGCCACTTTTATGGATCTCAGTCTATAAACACACGGGGGCATCAGGAGGGCAGGGACGCCCTCTTGTCACTTGTGCCCTGTGACAGCACGAGGGGCGATGGATGCAAACTGGAGCACAGGCAGTTCCACCTCAAATGAGGAAGAACTTCTCCCTGTGAGGGAGCCAGAGCCCCGGGACGGGCTGCCCAGAGAGGCCGGAGTGTCCCCTGGGGACCCTCAGGGCCCGGGTGCCACTTCTGAGGGACCCGCCCGTCGTGTGTGCTTGGGGTGGCGCCACGTGGGGGGGGCGGGGCCG